AACACCACTACCAGGAGCATTGGTTTCTTCGCGGCTTTTTTTCTAAATAAAATCGATCTTTTTTTTTTTTAATATTGAAAAATAATATGAATCTATTTGAGCCCTGACTAATATGTTAATTATTATTATTAATTAGAATTAAAAAAAAACAAACAAGATTTGTTTAATTCAAAGAAGAAATTTTCTTAGCACAACCACTCATGCAGCAAATGAACCCTTATAATGAGATTTGTTTGTTTTTTTTTTTTTGTTAAATTAATATTCCTTTTACCTCTCCTCCTGCTTATTGAATATGTCTAAAATAAAGAGAATTTAAATACAAAAGAAATTCTATGGCGATTAAAAAGTTTTATCATTTAATTAATTAATTAATACCTACCACAATCATATATAACTGTGCAATACGATATTCATCGACGGACATGGGAACTGGAATACGGTATTCTTTAATAAGCATTGTGTTTTTTTGTGGCTTATTTTTTTTTTCTTTTATGCTAAATAATATGTATATAAATAGATGAGGTGTTATGACGTTTGAATATAAGTAGAAGACATCTATTGTATTGTTGCGGCGGTTGTCGCCTGTCAGTGTAGCTTCTTTATGTGTGGATCATCTAAAATCACTAGAGAAGTAGTAGCAAACGTTCCTTTTTTTTTTTTTTTCTTCTCGCTATATTCTGTTCTCTTTTTCATTCTTTCTTTTTCCTCTCATTCTCGCGCTCGTCTCTCTAACTCGAAACGTCGCATCAACTATGATGAGAACTAATAAAAAAAACAAAAAAGAAGAAAAAAATGATGATAAAAATGGGCACCATGATGATTTGTTTTCTATTTTTTTTCCACATGTCAACGCAGACTTCTATGCACGATAATATTGACAATAGCATTCTGCTTTTCTCACATTATCTATCAAATAAATCAAGCACGCTTTTTTTTCCTGTTTTATATGGATACATATTTATCAGCTTTTCATGCAAACAACGTATATATTTTTGTTTTATGTTCCGTGCTTAAATATATACATGACAGCAAAAACAGGATTCTAATAGAAGGATGAAATAGAATAGCAATTATGCCTGTCGGCAAAACTGACTTCGTTCACAAGTGCGTGTTATTTCGAATGATGACGATACTCAGAAAAAATAAATCATGCATACGTGTTTATTTTCTCCACTTCTTTTAATATAAGAAAAAGAAAGCACTTTTCAAAGAGAAGAATGAAAAAGAAATACCGCAATTTTTCTCTTTTTTATTATTATAGAAAATAATAAATAAAAAAAAAAATATTTTAAAAAATTTCACTTGAATATTTTGCACTTCATACAACGTAAGATGAAGAAAAAAAACAAAATCTTTCGTTACTAATTACGAACAAATTTATTATAAATAAAACTATGATCCTATTTCAATAAGAATTAATACAATATATAACAATTATATAGAAAAAAATTAATAGTCGATGAATATGAGAAGAAACATCTAACATCCGGTAGTGAAAGGAAACAATGGTCGATACTTATAAATTTTGATCCATATCGTCATTATTTTCTTTCTAGAAATTCAAAAAACATATCTTATTTTTCAAAGTTCAAGGGCACGGAAATGGCCTATGCTCTTTTCCGGCAAACGTTCGAATAATTTTCTATTTGTCATATAAAAGTCAAGAACTTTAATATCTCTTCAAGACCAATCGGTTCGTGAATCCAAATTCTTCTTATTAGAATATAACTATATTCATGTTTATTACGAGCGGATAAAAATAATGCATAGCTTTTCACCCTGGGTAGTTTTTCACATAGTTTAACTTCCGTTTTATTGAATAGGAACGGAAATGTAATAATATCGAACAATGACCTATTTCTAAAAATAAATAGATCTATAGTTCTCATCGTATGACTTCATTAGTCGAGAAATTAAGATTTGACTGATATAAGAGAAGAAAAAAAGAAATTATTTTTCTATATTGGTATATCATGGACAAATTCATTATAAAAAATGACCTAGACTTCAATTTCTAATAATTTCTGTTTATTAGAATATAGAAAAAAAAAGATTTTCTTCTCAAGAAGTTCTTCATTTCCGCAATCTAATGCATTAAAACATTCATACAAATAAAAGAAGTTGACATCAAATGACAATCTCTTGAGAGACAAAGAATTCTCCTTTTTTTTTTAGACATATTTTCACGCATACAATATTAATCAACAGAAAATCATTCATTTATAGTCTAATCAGCTAAGCCGTAAGGTAAAAAAAAAACCTGCAATATAAACTTGGCACATGTTATTTTGCATGTTATAGAGATTAAGAATGTAATCCTACTAATATATATATTTATATATATATATGAAGAAAATTTTCTTTGACAAAAAATTCTCATTGGTTATATTTTAATTAGATTTTTCGATTTTATAGATAATTATTATTAAAAATAGATTTTCTGAAAAACTAATTACGAAAGTTTTTTTCCAATGAAAACTAACAAAAGATTTCAATAGAAGATTGAAAATATACTAATATGATATAGAGAAATAGTAATATATTTGTTAATTTTGTTTTCAATGATTGCATATATAATTTGTAAGACTACGATATTCCCTTGAGAGATTTCTTTTATACTATAGATTAGTATGAATGAACGTAGACTATGATTTTTTTTTTGTAGTAGAATTAATTTAAAAAAAATAATTTCTTCAAGATTGTTACTAATCATGGAATAAATATTCTAATTAGTCTTATAAGATAAATAAAAACTAAGATTATATTTTTGTTTTGCAAACCTTAACTATTCATCAGTTTATATATAACGATCAAAAATATCGATATAGAAGATTATATGAACTATGTTTGAATGTTGTGTTGTCTTAAGAAATAATTTTTAATTAATTTAAAGTCATCGATTATATTAATTGTTGGATTATTTACATAAATTTTATAGACATCTCATCATATACTTAGAGATTTTCCAAATATTTTTGAAAAAAATTAATTGAAATTTTTCTAATTTGAACTAAATATACGATTCTATTCTATAAAATGATATAACTGTCTTTCATTATAATTGCATATGTCAATAGTTCGAAATATAGAATAGAAGAAAACATAAAAATTATTGTTTTAAATTGGACTATTTAGTTTGATAAGAACTCACTAAGAAATCTCGTAAGTGTTGATGCTTCTTATGTTTCCTTAAACTTATAATTACATATTACTTATACTCATCTTTTTGCTCGAAGTATTCTTATTATCTAAGAATAACTAGAAGATTTCTACTACAGTCAACAGAAGAAAAACTATCTCAAGTTATTTCCATAAGTGATTGTTTTTGTCTAATCCAACTATTCAATCAAATAAAAGTCATTTTTTTCGTATTTTCAACAAACAAAAATTGAAATAATGTTAGCTGATAATGATAAACAGAATTACGATTGCTATAATATTGAACGAATTTGTTTTTAATATAACTGACTTTTGATGGATGATTTGCGTCAAAAGTACAGTCATAATTAATTTTTGTTAGAAAATCTTTTAAACTGACGAGTGAATCTCTTCAAATGTGTAATCGCTTTTCGATTGAGACGATGTTTGTTTGATGAGTACAATAAGAGAAATCTAGAATGATTTGCTATTCCAGGTTTTCATTCTTGAGATATCGACTTTAAATTTTGCATGAAAAAAGTTCTCATTGAAATTAATTGATTGTAAAAATTTAAGTTTTTCCAGTATTTCCTTTCTGGAGATGAACTAAATTTCTTTTACACGTGAGAGAATTTCAAATATTGAATATAACTTGTTTCATGAACTAATCTTATCAAGAACTTTATTCATACAAAATTTAAAGTCGATATCTCAAAAACGAAAGCCTAGAACAGCAAACCATTCTAGATTTTTCTATTATTTATCAAATGAACATCGTCTCGGTTGAAAAGTTATTTAACACCTGAATAGATTCCCCTGTGAGTTTTTTTTTGTTTCTAGAATTGTTATAGAGAAACTGAACGTACATAAATAGAAAGAGAAGAACACAAATTACTATTTTGAGAAGTAAAATTTTTTTTACAAACTCATTGTTTATAATGTAATGTGCTTATTTTCATCACAAAACAATACAAAATTTTCAAGTAAATTTTTTATCATTTTTGTTTTCAAGTATCGTATTTGAAATCTTTCAGAAAATGCTTTCTTCAAAACATCTTTCGTGAAACTTCAAAGTATCCATTAAATCATTTATATTAGAAAAATTTTTACATGAACATCTTATGTTGTTTGTCGTAAAAGAACCAAAATACTTTATTGAGGATTCGCTTATCAAAAAAAGAAACTTTAATTATCAAAATGTAGCTCGCATTCTCCTTCATCCATTTAAATGAGTTCACTTTTTTTCAGAAAAAATAACTTAATTCAAAAGATCGTCCAACAAAAATTGACTAACCTTATTGCAGAATAAAAAAAACCATAGATTTCTACATTGAAAATTTACATTACTTTTCTATGGTAGGCTAGATTTTTTTTTTGCTAACATTTACCTAGAAGAAAAATCATGGATTTTTCAAAAACTCAACACATATTGCCTTCGCATGAAATTTTCTTTGAATATAGTATGAAAATTTATTTCTTAAACAATATAGACAAATCATAATTCTTCGAATATACAAATAAATTTATGTTCTTAATATATCTTTCTCACTTTTTTTTTACATCATAATGATGTTCATTATATCATTAAATGAAATTAAATCTAAAATTTCTATAATCTAAAATAGAAATAATTTACCCATCATAAATACTGTCATCTGTTTTTTTAAATATATTTACACATTTATCGAAATAAAAAATACCAAAAAAAAAAAAGAAAACAGAAGATACATTTCGATGTTTTTTCTTTTTGCACATGAAAATACATAGATAGACCAAAAAGAAAAAAAAACATGCTATTACTTTTTTTTTTTTTTGAGCAGAGTAGAAATAAATTACGATGTTTTCTTTTATAGCGTATAATATCAATTAAAAATAATGAACAAAATGACAGCTAATGCAATCCCTAGAAATATACGTGATAATAAATCATGATGATAACGTTCAGGTGTATCAGGTGGTGCTAAAACAAAATAATTCTTTTAAAAAAAAAAGAAAAATTTTATTTAAGATATGTATTTACGTGGACCATATTGATGATCATTATTATTATTTGTTGTAAATGTTGTTTGAAAAAGACCAAATGGAAAAGCACCAACACCAAATGACATTTGAAAATTAACACCATCACCAAAACCAAAATTCTAAATAAAATAATAATAAAATTCTCTTGTTCGTTTTATTTTTCTCTAGATCTTATTTACTCGACCTCGACGAGGTTCTTGTCTTGTACCAGCGGGTCGTGGTGGTGTAGTATTTCTAAACACACACATATATATAATATAGGATTTGAAATAAATAATTAAATATAAACCTTGGATCAGTTTGTGGAGAATTTCTTCCATAAATAGGCACTAATTTATCACGTGATATACTACTTTTACATACAGGACATGTTGGATTATGTGCACGAGTTTCAAGCCATTGATGAATACATGGCCAACAAAATAAATGACCACATAGTGATAGAACAGCATCACGAGCTGTTTCAAGACAAATCTAAATAAAGTAATAAAATGATTCTTTGTTATTTGGTTTTTTATTTTCTATATATTAAAAATATAATTAATATTAAACTTACATTACATTCAAAACCTGAATCTTTTTCATTATTTGATGATGATGATGATTTTTTATCATCATTATTACCAGAATCATTGGTAGAAGTTTGTTCTGTCGATGCCATTTAAATAAATATCTTGAAAGAAAGAAGAATAGATCACATAAAATATTTAATAATATATATATATTGAGAACTTAAAAAAGTAATTAGCTTGAATAAGTTAATAAATTGTACTTACAAATATGTCATTGTTGTTTTAGTAAACTATTGGTGTAGTTCATACCATTGATAATTGATGCGAGCCTCTAACTCATTTACGAACCAATAGAAATAAAATTTGAATGAAAAGACAAAAAAGAAAAAGATATTATGTATGAGTAGCAATTTATGAATTGAAAAGAATGTCAACAATTCCAAATGATTTTATCAATTTTCTTGTACCTGTTATTCAAGAATTTGATGGAGCTGTAGAACAAGTTCGGTATGTTTATGTTTCTTTCATTCAGAATAAAATTAATAGGTTGTTCTATTTTAGACATCGTCAATTAGCACTTGGAAATTGTCTAACAGCAATAAATGAAGGTGAATCTATTATTATTATTTCTTTTTTTTTTTGTATCTTTCTTTATTTAGAATTAGCTACACTTTATAAACAATGTCCTGGTGATCGTGAAATAGAAGAATATATTAAACGAATTCATGCATTAAGACAACGTATGATTGAAGCTAGTATTCATGTAAAAATTATTGAGGTAATAAATACAATATTTTCATTCTTAATTCTTTGTTGTTGTTGGTTCTTTTTTTTTTTTATAAAGGATCGAATAGGAAAAATGGAACAATCAATAGCTAAAACAAGGACATGAAAATTTTATTTGTATGAAATAAAAAAAAAATGCACACACAGAAAAAAAGAAATTCTGTTCATTTATCTTTAAGTTCAGGAGCAGGTGGATAATCATCATCATAATTAACAGTACATTTTGGTAATTCATTATGTAATAATTTAATTATTCCTTCACGATTTTTAATACCGGGTAAACGTGCCAAAATGATTTGTTTTAAATTTCTAAAAAACCATATTGATTTTATATAAATAAATAAACAAAAAAATAGTTTTATATACTTTAAATCACTTAAATTACTAAGACCATTGTCACTTATTTGAACAAGATCAATTAATGCTATAGATTCTAATGTATCATTAACTTTTTTAAATCGTATAATCGAACCTGAAACAAAAAAACGGCGTTAATTTATTAGATTCAATAAAATTTCAACATACCATCACCAACTTGATCACATTTTTCTAAATGAATTTTTTTTAAATCAGTTAATCCATCTATGTAACAACAACAAAAAAAAAACATTAAATTAGAAATAGATTAATAAAACAATAAAATAACCTAAATAAGCAAAACCATCAGATGTAATACAAGCTTTAATAGCACGAATTTCTTCGAGTTTACATTGTCCTGGACCACCACTTGGTATTGCATTATAATCTGATGTTATTGAAGTCCAATTTTTAAATCGTACTGAACCACTACATCGTAATAACCATTCAGCACAAGCACGATCAGGACCAATTTCTTGAACACGTTTTCGATCATATCTATAGGATGTTCATTATATATATATGTAATTAAATTCAGACGAAATTGTCTTCATTTTCTTTATCTCATAAGTATTATATTTAGAAACAATTAAGATATAAGAAACATTTTCCTGTATTATTCGGAAACTTTAGCTTAAAAAAAATAATTAGAAAACCGATCATCATGTTATATTCATTGTTTCAGTTATTATATGCTTTATCTTCGATATATAAATTTTTTCAATTGTTTTCTAGAATATTTATTTTTATCTTATATTTCCATTCATTAAGATAATATTTAGTAAGATAATTATTTTCTTCGACAGAAAATAAATTCGATGACAAGTCTTAGAATTAAATTTTCAACAAATAATTATGTCAATCTTTTGAAAATCTTTTGCACTAGTTGTCTCTTATTAACTTGACATACAAGCACTCATCAAACAAAAGATATAGTTACGCTATAAATATGATACACATGTGTCTATTATCTTTATTTACAATTTGTGCATTTATCAACGCATAAAATACTATCTAAAAATAGATCAACTCAAAAAAAAATAAGAAGTATTAATAGAAATTCATTACATAGATACAATGAGTACTAAAATTATTCGACGAAGTTGATTTTCAATGTTTTTTACGCTTTCGTAATCGTCAGGAAAAAATAGCTTCCAATCAGAATATAAGAGAATAAAAATTATTATCAGATTCCCAAAGGTAGATGTTTCAGAAAGTCAAAATCCTAGTTTTCCAACACTGAAAGTGTGTAAATATAATTTTATTTAGACTACATAGAGCAAATAATTTTTTACAAAATGAAATATCTCTGAGGTCTTTGAGACATTCTTTAGCTGAAATACAGCAATCTTATTAACTAAATTGCTGTATCTCAGGTAAAAAACGTTGCAGAAAATTCTGAGATGTTTTATTTTGTAGAGAATTGTTTACTCTATCATTCTATATAGTCTAAATAAAATTATATTTACGCACTCTAGGGTTTTCGTATTCTGGAGTTCTTGTCTTTGAAAATCTGATAATAGTTTTTATTTCCCTATATTTCTTTTGGAAGTAATTTGCTCAGTTCGAATTATTATTTAGATTCTTTCTAGTGTTTATAGCAGCGGAAAAAGAAATTGAAAATGAACCTTGTTGAATAATTTTCGTATCCAATGTATATAATTTTTAACTGAATAAAACTCGTAAATTTTAATGTAATTTACCTGTTCCAAACATAATTAAGCCAACTCCAAAATTGTCGATTATTAGTCAATGAAATATTCGATGTTAAACGTCGAGTAAGTATTGTTGTCATCTAAAAATTAGAAAAAAATATATCATACATTTTTAAATGTTTTATATTCTATCTAGGAAAAAACATAATCAGTTTTATTTGAATTTTAATGTTACACATATGTCATTATGACTATCATCAAAATTTCTATAATGATATTGATCAATAATCGAATCTTTACAAAAGATTGAGATCGAAAATTGCCTGTTAACTTTGTAAAAGATTTTCATATTTATCAATGACTATTTTGTCGAATTGAATATTTTATTTATGTATTGTAATTTTATTTCAAGAAAGTCCAGTACATTCACAAATTGTCGTATATAATTAATTATTTTTATTTTAACAATAAATTTTTGTCGAACAGAATCATTTATCATTAAATCAAGATATCTCTGACACAAACGAGTTTCTTTAATAATAAAAAAAAAGAACAATTGATTAATAAATTTTTCGATTCGAAACAAAACAAAAAATGAATAATTTATCCTCAAGAGAATAATATAAACTAGATAATTGATGAAGTGTTAGTGTTAGAATGATCAATTCACTTGATATAAGACTTAATTCATCATCTTTAGTTCGTACTTAAATAAAACAAATTAATTAATTAATGAAAAGATAACATTCAAAATTTACTTACTTGGTTTACCTTAAGTACCGATAATATCACCACGATTAATACGAATATTTATTATTGCAAATTTTGTTTGATCATAATAAAATCTATAAAAATGAGATTTAATTTAAGTCTCAAAATAAGAAATAAATTTTACTGTAGATCAGCCATAATCTGAACTTTAAGTGAATCATTATCAAGATCATACAGAAATGAAGTTTGCGTCTTGAAGAACGCTTTGAATATACACGTCCTACTTCGAATAAAACAAAATTATACTTTTTATGCTCAAATAAATTAAATTATATTTTATCAACTACAGAAACAATATTTTCATTAATTTCATCATTTTTTTTGAATAAGAATATTTATCAATAAAATCTCATAATGATATTGAAACATGATACTTATGTAGATAGATTATTTCATCAGATTGTTTAAGTTGTTGTATATGATGCAATTGCATCTTGTAATAGTCCTAATAATATACAAATAAATATTGAACTCTATAGTTTGGATTACATGAATTTTGTTCCTGACTCAAGTTTCTTTTGCTAACTTTCCTAAAAATTCGAAATCCTATAAAAAAATTGGTACATTCTGTAGTGTTTAGCAAGATGGTGTAGTGTCCAGCAGGAACACATATCACTGAATAGTTTGCTTTGATTCTATTATAAGTGGTGTAATCTTTTAAGATAATTATTACTTTTATGCAATTAGTGCCAACATAAAAAGTGGAGCGTGCAATAGGTCTATGAAGTGATACCTTCTCTAATTCACTTTTAACTAATCAATGTTTCTTTAAAAATTTTATCAATTTTTCGATCTTTTTATCAAATGTAAATTGTAACATGTGCGTAACGTTTCAGATCAAAATTCAAAAAAAACAAGTTTTCCGAAAATCTGGAGAGATAGACATATTAAAAATTTGATAGCGTAGTTCACTATCAATAGGAATTCAGTTTTTATTAGAACACTATGTAGTATCTAGAGACAGAAAAAAATCATGGAAATTGTAAGGGAACAGCTGAAGAGATTCCCTCGTAAGTTATATGGACTGTACCAAGTATTTATAGAAATAAAGCTTTTTTATGAGAATTAATGAGAGAATTTTCGACCTCCCTATAGTTTTACCTGTAGATCATGAAAAATATCCCTAGACCAAAAAAAGTAAGATTCGTCTTAATTTTAATCTTTTTTTTTTTTTGCAACAATTACATTCTGTTTTAATAGTTAAATCTTGTACTGATTTTGTTGTTAGTAACGATGATAGGTCATTCTTTTTTGTCTCTTCAGATGGACTTACATTAGGATTAAGTTCTTGATCGTTATTCTCATGACGAGAAGTTACTTCATCATTTGCACTTAATGTTTGCTCTTGTACAATAGTTTGGTTTCGTTCTTGTTCTTCAGCTTTCAGTTGTCATTTTAATTCACTAAAAATAAAAAAGAAGCAATTAAAAATAGTCCCATAACTCAATTTAAATGTGTATCATTTAAACAAAAGAGTAAATACATTTTGAAAATATATTGTACTTAATTTATTCAAGCTAAAAAAAGAAATGAATCGAACTTAATTCAAAATGTTTTCATCTTGCTAATATATTAACATACTTCTTACTAATCTTTTCTTCTATTGACAATTGCTCTTCCGAATTCTCATCGACAAGGGATGACACTTAAAAATAATCCAATTAAATATTTATATATAAAAAAACAAAAAGTTTATTCAAAATGATTTATTTACTTGTACATTTATGATAAAACTAGACAAGATAGAACGACATTCTATCTTATGATATATTTTTATTTTTTAAAATTTTTTTTATTGATAGTGCAATGTCAATATAATTGCATGAGATAGATAAATAATGACGACATGAGATTCACTTTTCATTTTATTTCATAAGACAGAAGAAGAAAAGATACAGACATGATTACCACCAATTAAAACAAAAAAAAAAGAAATTTATTGTCCTGTATGTTAATCGATAATTTTTGATTAATAAAATAAACAATCATAAAATGCATGGTTACTTCAAAGATGTGAAAGATACGGATGCTTGATTACAGGCAAGAATAATCGTTGTTGATATTTATTTATTTAGCTTGATTAATTTCCTTCTGATGATGATAATGCTGAATTTTTTTCTCGTTGATTTTCAACTGATGTAGAACGAGATTGAGATTCATTAGTATTTTCTGAAGCTGGAATACGAATTGATCGACGTGTAACATTCGAACCTGTATTATTCGCTGTATTATCTACTCAACAAGCAATATCTTGATAATTTACAAAGCGAAACAAAAACAAAATTAATACCTTCATTAGAATTAGATGATTCTGAAGTTGATGATTCCATACGTTCAACAATAGATTCATTTTGTGGTTGATTTGTCATTGTTGTTTGAGGATCATGTGCAACAATATTACCATGAAATACTGGTTTTTGTTTACGAGCACTATTAAAATAATTACAATACGCACAACGAAAAGCTAAACATAGAAAGATTTTTATTTAATATCAAATTATTATTATTAATAATATTACATAAATATTCAAATTCTTCTTCTAATGCCATGCCTATGTAAAAAACAAAAAACAAAACAACATACTCATTTTTAATATTTACTCAGCTCAATAGAACAACAAACCATTATGACTATTGCAAGATTTACAAATTAATGCATAGCTAAATGAAAAAGAAGAATAAATTAAATATATTCTAAAGAAAATAAACTAAGCAAATAATGAACCCTTAAACCCTTGAACGAGAAAAAAACCTCGTCCTATATTTAATAACTTTCTACCGAAATCGAAATTTCCATCGTTCATGTAAATGCCCGTCGCAAATTAAACTGCAATATGCAAAACTCCAACCGATTTTAAATTCTTATATAAAAACAAAAAATGATCATCTCACCGTTTCGATGGACCATCGCCTACAATAGTATCAAGAATTGTTCCCCAGAATGTTCGTTGTGGTGGTAAAATTGCTCGTGGTAATTTACCAGGCATAGCATTTGCTAAATAATATTTGAAAATATAATTTCTAATAATCATATTAACAAAAATATGTACCAGTTGAACGATCTGGTGCATTAGGTACCGGTGTCTGTCGATTAAACGTTTCTAATGTACCGATATTAGGTGGTGGAGCTAAAAGAAAACATTCATCGGTTAAGTTTTATTTAAAAAAAAAATAACATGTTCTACTAGAAACAGAAGGTTTGTCTGAACCGGGTGGTGTTGGTTTGACGGATACACGTTGACGTAAATCTATAAATAATAAGGAAAATAAAAATTGATTTAATCGTTTTTCTGCACAATTTACTTTAATCATAATCTCTCTCTATGGATTTTAATATTTTATCTAATCAATTGTATTTTTATTCTTACATTTCATCTATGTATATTCTTCACGTTTCTTTTTTCTCGACGTACCTTTATTGTTATTTTCAGTTGGTGTTGGTCGAACTTCTGGTGTTATTGTTTCACCATATTTTTCTAATAGAGCTTTAGCTACTGCATATGTTTCCTTATTTTTTACTTCTTCAATCTAAAAGAAAAAAATCTAATAGAAATTATATTTATTATGTACAATTTTCTTACCAATTCTTGTTTTCGATCTTTGAACAATGCTAATCGATCTTCTATAAAATGCAAATAAAAATTATATATTTTTTTTCTCTCTTTTCTTCTATCCTATGCATTCACTGACCTTTCATTTGAATAGCAGTTCGAAAATACCAACAGATAAGCCAATAAACTGCATAGATTCTTTGTGTTTTTAATATAAATCAATATTAAGAGCTTTCATTAAAAAAAAAAAGTACTTACATGGCTCCAAGTGTTAAAGAAACCAAGACTGCATAAATACGAGTAATATAATCAGGCGAAAGAAAAAGAGTAAAATAAGCAATGTTCACAATTAAATATGCTAAAATAACATAGACAGCAATTAATTTCGTCCATTTTCGTTGAAGCAGACGTGTTTGAATTAAATTCTGCTGTAAATGGAGTGACTCCTAGAACAAGACAAAAGAAAAAACTTATTTGAAAAAAAACAAACAACTCTTACTGTATGAAGATCTTCAAGTTCTTCGGAAAGAGTCGTACGAAATTTCTATAAAATTGAATTTATCTATTTTTGTTTTAAATAATATTAAAGAGAAATATGACATACGAATATTCGAAATTTAAATAATCGACTGAAGAAAGACATGTTGAAAAATTATATTTATTTTGAAAAAAGAGAGACAAGAATAATCTATAAAAAAAAATAATGTTATAAATATTTTTGCATCAAAAAAAATAAAGAAGAAATTATTTAGTACCTCTCTTTTTTGTGTGTCTATAAACAAGAATATATACAAAAAAAAAAGGAAACTTCTGTCAACTAGCTGTGGTTTTTTTTTCCTGTATTTGTCTAAGACAGGCTACAGCTGTCGTTAATTGATTCACCTTGAAAAAATTGTGACGAACATTGTAGTCAGATGTTACATTGAAAAACGAAGAATAAATAAAGATGCAACGTATATTTCCCTCAATAAGGCTTCTATTTTTTTATTTTGACGAAGTTTACTATGATTCATTTGGTTTGGTAGAGTTTAACCAATCCATTTATCGATCGTTCTACATATATATACTGTCTCTCGTAGTTATGTACCTCTATCGTGATAAATTTAATATTGGATTTTTTCCCCAGTTTCTATATCTTATAGAATCAAAGTTTAACAATGAACGATAACGGAAGGTAGATAGATAATTTATTTAAAATTTAATTTTTTTTTAAAATTTTAATTAAAGACGTGTTAATAGTATTATTATAAAAAATTTACCAGCAAATTATAATGAAGTAAAGTTTTTTCATTTAAAAAAAAAAAGGATCATTTTAATATCGATTGGGTTTTTTTTTGTAGAGTCAACTTGAAGAACTATTTTCAAAATTTGGTCGTATTGTATCAAGTAAAGTTTTACCAAGTAATCCAAATTTTGATGGTGGTTGTGGGTAAGATTTGTATTTTTAATTAATAAAATAATTTTTTTCATTTGATTTAAAATATTTTTAGTTTTGTTAATTTTGCTGAATCAGATAGTTGTACTAAAGCTGTTGAGAATATGAATAATTTTGTTATTGATCGATTTACTTTACGTGTTAATCATGCATCAGTAAAAATGTTCTTTTTTTATTTTAAATAATTAAATAATGGGTTTTTTTTTCTCTTTAAGACACGATTGGGTAATAATAATACTGATCGACCACAAAATGGATTGTGAGTAATAAGTTGATAGTTGAAAGACTTCTTTTTTTTTTTTGAAAATTTGATTTGATAGTCGTAATAATGGCGAATTACATGAAGATAATAATGGTGCATCATCACCTAGTATTCAAAATCGATTTAGTGGTTTTCGACCAGCTAGTGAACGTTCACCAACAAACACAATACGATTAAAAACAAATAGTACACCTTTGAATACAAATGAATCAGATACATTATTAACTAATAATAATAATAATAAACCATTATGGAATGGTACAAATATTGAACAACAAAATGATAAAAATACATTACAAAATGGTAAATATAATATTTTTTATATTAAAAAAGAAATTTTTTATTATTATTTAGAATTAACAATGAATATTCGTGAACATGATTTATTTATAATAAATAAAAGTTATTGTGTTTATTTATCAAATCTTGAAGTACCTAATATAATATTTGCAGCAACGTTAGATGATTATGTTAATGCAACATTACTTATAACACAAATGAATAAACATGAACAACTTACAAAAATTCAAGCTAATTCTTATAAATCAAAGTAAAAAGAAAACAAAAGTTGCTAACACAATCCTTGCGGAATTAAAATATAAAACACGATGTAGCTGCTCTTGCTAGCCACACGAAGATTGTTTTATTCTATCTATTGTGGGATTTATCTCTTCATCATCCTTTTACTTACTCCTTGAGAAATGCAATAACGAAGTAGTTCATATGTTATACCGAATAGAGACCTGTGGATCTGAGTTTTTGTAAACCCGAACTCGAGGAAAGCTAAACTTTTGAAGTCAAATCTGGCATAAAATAAAAAACTTTGAACTCGCAACTTCTCTAATAATGACACCTTATTAATATACGCTCTGTGGTTGTGTATCAATGTCTGTGGATGGAAGGGGTGTAAATTTTTATCCCTGTATTTCAACACCCTTTTTTAGTTTGTATTTCACAAAAGAATCGTAATTTAGAAGACGAGAAAAATTAATTCTTTTTTGGTTTTCTTATTTTATTAGACTTGTTGTTGGACAATTTTGTGCTGCACTTTTTAATGGAGATTGGTATCGAGCTCGTATATTGGAAGTTGATGAAAATCGTGTTCATGTACAATACATTGATTGGTAAAATTTATATATATATATTTATTTATTTATTTTTGTTCTTTAATTTTAATATGTATTTTTAAATTAGGGGAAATACTGGATGGTGTGATTCAATTCTTGAAATTCGTTCATTACCAATCGAGTAAGTATTCAAATTCGAAGATTCATTTAGACTTCGAATTCGTTTCAAGTTTAAACTCAAAGTTTAATCATTAATATTCTCTAAATTGCATTGTCTTTTCTTATCTAGATATTATAAAGATTCTATTTTATGTGTAAAATGTATTTTGGATGGAATACCAACTGAAAATAAACTATCCGATGAACAAACAAATGCTATACTTGAAATACTTGGTAAATTAACTTGATAGACAACAAAAAAATTTCTTGTAAAATTTACTTGATATTTTAGTTCTTGATGTTAAACTTGAAATGAC